TTAAGCCCTTTCTAGGTTCCGAGGTCGTCGTCAGATACGATGTAAACCCTCACATCTTCCAGGCAACTTGTGTGACCGTGTCACGCGAATATAAGTCCTAAGTAAATAAAATTGGCAGGATGAAACATTTTTAATAATTTCTTCTTAAAGCTGAAGCCAAACCATAGGATAGACTGGGAACCTACTGAGGTTCGCCTCAGGATCTGTGGCTTCCCCTAGTTTCTCTTCATTTGGATTCCTTAATAATGTTTCAGATTCAAGTTTTTCCCCTTTCACATATATTCGTCCGATTTCGTTGAAAAGTCATATCCTTTTGACCTCTTTGAAGATGATATCCCCTGATTTTTATCGAGAGTCTTCTTAGGAGACTTCGGTCATTTAAGATGTAATTAACTATAGGGGTTTGCCCTTATAAGGAGCTTTTCCGAACCCAGCCTAAAATAAACCCTATTTAATTCTTTATATTACATAGGGGAACTTGTCGGCAAATAAAACGGTTTCGCAGACCAAACGGATGTCATATATTTTTTATTTTATTTGATTGAGTCTCATCTTCAAGTCTTGGAACATAATAGAAAAAAATCACATTATATATATATATATATATATATATGCACGTAAATTAAAACGTTCTTCCGAAGCGGGCGACGGGATTTCGATTTCGGCTGCCGACAGCTTCTTACGGGCGACCCCCCAAACTTTCTTTTAACTTTCTTTTAGTGCCGACAGTGTTTTGTATTTAGAAAGACGTGCTTTATTTTCTCTGCAATGTTTTTATCCAATTTGATATGAAGCTAACGGGCATAGCTCATAGCTAAGTCATTCACCTAAACTTCTCAAAAATCATTGTCATGCCTTCTTTAACTATGTTTCAATATTCAAACGAGCTTGCTAAGTTCGATATCTCCAAATATTTAGATTTCAAGTGACAAACATTGAGACCCACCAATTGTCTACATCAAACTAAAAAATCATTCTTTGAAGCTAAAAAAGTCCTTAAAAAGAACTGCAAGCACTATCAAAATATATGTAATATGTGACCCTAGATTTATGTTAAGAAGCTCTGTTTTATGTTTAGAAACTCATTTATGATTTTCATCTATAGACCCAATATTATGTCTCCGGTTAACTTTTTTAAGCACCAAAACTTCATATAAAGAAGTGATAGTCTACAATTCATCTTCAAGTTATCATTAATGTTTTTCATAAGGATATCTGAATATTTCTTAATTTTATCCTGTGTTTCATTTGCAATCCAAGAAGTTGCTTTTTGGCTCTATTAACACTTGAGTAGGAGTGTGCTCCATCTAATTTTCTCACTTCAAATATTTCGTAACTTGCACATAGTGACAGTCGTATGCTTCATAAATATCCTTCATGAATACATGTAGATATAACTTTTTGTTATCACTTGCTCTAATCTGTATTTCAAAATTATTGATAATAATTTGATGATGAATTACAAATTTATAATTCTTTGAGTAATTGAAGCACCTACGAACTGAAAGTGCTCCATCATTACAATTATTTCAAGTTTCATTGACGTCTTAAATTATTACAACAATCATAGCTCGGCCACTTTCATTTAACTAATTAATTATTTCCATTGTCTCAACTTCAATTATCATAAGCTTATAATTTTTATGAGATGTTTTATATATGTGACAGTAAAACTGAAATTTATGCCCTCTAAATCATAGGCAAATCCTGTTAATCTCCCCTGAAAAAAAAAATTAGGTCGTTTTGAAGCTTCACGGTTCTCTATTAGCCACAATCATATCTCATGTTCTCTTGATTCTTCACTTTAACTCAAATTTCTCCAAATTTAAATGCTACTAAAATATAATGTCTCAACTCTATCAAAAAAAGTCAGTGTAAATAAATATAAAAAAAAGTTTTTTTTTAAAAGTTTGCATAAGTATACTTATTTTTATATAAATTGTATGATAAAGAATAATGAGCTGGATTGATGGTGAATTTAGAGTTGGCGGTGGTGAATTTAGAGGTGGTGAAGTTTCATTTGAGATTAATAAAAAGAAAATAAATCAGTGTTCATAACTAATTAACGTCATTGAACTACGAAATATCCCAAAATTTATCATAGCTGAATGGAATATAAATACTAGTTATGAAGCTAAGTTGAGGGTAAAAAATAGTCCTCTTATAGATATTCCCTAGTCAAGTGCTCATTGTTCTAGTTCTACTCCCTTTTCTTTTTTAAAATCAAGGATTTAAATTTTAATATCGGCTAAGGAATCAAGGATATGAATGTAGGAAAAGAAAAACATATCATAGACATTTGACAAGCAATTGAAGAATAGATTTAACATGCATATTAAAAAGCAATTAAATAGTTAAGTTTTAATTTTATTTTGTTTTTGAACTGTTTTATTGTATATTCATGAAAACTTACCATCACAACAAAAAAGATAGAAACCCAAAAGGCTCTTTATTTATGAAAGATATGTGTGATAATGAGTAAAAATTTCAAAAAATAGATTAACATTAACCTTATTATTGGATAGGGATCTTATTAGTGGTGATGGTTGGGAGTCTTTTAATCTCTGAGATTGACAGTCATCAATGTGATGATCATCAGGTATAGATGACAATACCATGACCAATGAGATAGAAAGACCCATGGTATTAGATGAAATGAGATGACATGTGAGATGAAGATGATGTCCAAATAAGAAGCCAAGTTGAAACGGATGGGAATACCTCAACCTTCATGCTTGAGAGTCATCATTGTGATGATGAAGAGGATTCGATGAGGAGGGTTCCATGCCTAACTGTAGAGTAACAACTAGGAGCTCACATGGGAGCGAGGGAGGAAGCGAGTGCTTGGTGGAATCGAGGGGGAAAATGGGAAGTCTGTCTCAAAGAAGCGAAATATCTATGGGATAGTCAGGTATAACGATGAGGTGCTCTCATCACCAATTGTTTAGAAATTGGTTTCAGAGTGGCAGATTAGGACTGTTAGGAAGTTTTGAGTGGTAAATAGATAAAATATATGTTTAAGATGTTAGATTTGAAAATACATCAGTTTTGGGTGGTATGTGTGTAAATCCCTCTAAAAAAATTAGAACAAAATTAATAACAACTCAATAAAGGGGCATTTTCATCCATGCTTTAAAAATATCTTTTTCCATCACATTTCTTGAAAATTTGGTAAGAAAATAATAAATGAAGGATAACTCATAGAAATCAAAGTGTTAATAAATCACTGAGGAGAAAAGAAACCGTAGTGTTCTATTAGTAGGAACCCTTTGAAGCTGTAAAAAAGTTATTTAGTAAGAAAAAAAATCTTAAAATTTCATCGAAGCTCCATATTTCATGCATTTTGTGGAATGAGAGCTTGGAATGGTAGGAGAAGATGAGGGTGAGAGCTACATGAGGGCTTAGGACAAGCCGAGGATTTTGAAAGATGAACAAGTAGTTACTGCTTTGATGATCTGAATGTACACACTATGGAGTGATAACTCTAAATGATAAAATGGCCAACATTTTTGCTCGTTGATTAAAACTTGCATACCAGATTGGAGAATTTGCTAAAAGCTGAAATGGGTTATTGCAGTGAGAAGATTGGCATTTCTTCAGTTGGGGGAATATATACTTGGACATCCTGGTTGTGTGAGAATTTACAATGTTCTTGGCTGATTATTGGAGTATTCATACAACAAATTTAGGAACTTGCTTTACAATTATGAATAGATCTTGGGAACAATATTTTCTTATTTCTTAAAGATACCAACTAGTGGCTTTTAGCCTACAGAAATTCCATCTCACTTGACAAAAGACTGTTTTTTTTTTGTGGGGGGGGG